TTGATAAGTACATGGCAGATGACGCTAGCTATTTCATGCATCAACATTGGAACATCCTACTTAGGTAGGTTCGAGGCCTGCCGACCAGTTAAACTGGTCGGTCACCCATTTTAACGGGTCAGATTACCAGTTAAACTGGTCAGCTGCAAGTTAAAATGCTCGGACAGCATTAAGACGACGATGCTTACTCCTTTGATCTCGCAATATATTTTCACTTGATTTCTTTGACCCTGCTACAAGATGTTTTTCCATCTTCTAGCAGGCTTAGGGACTAAGTGCGTACACTTCACCTTGCGGTGAGTGTACTATTTTTTCTTGTTGATAACTCTCAGCTAAGCTAGGGACTGGCTGTATCATCAGCTGGCATCTGTAGTCTTTTATTTGTTGACCCTGGCACTACGTGAATTATTCACCTACCGCCAAGTTCGGAGACTAAGTGGTTACACTTCACCCGCGGTAAATGTAGTGCTTTTTTCCTGATTTACCCTCCTTATTGACAAAGTCATGGACGATAATCATCCGACCTCGCAAACGGAGTCTAAGTGCCTACACTTCATCTGAGATGAAGAATTTTCAAACTTAATTTTGGGCCTCTTACATCCTTTTGGCAAGCCTTACTTGAGTAAGTTCGAGGCCTGTCGACCAGTTAAACTGGTCGGTCACCTATTTTTACTGGACGAATTACCCGTTTAACTGGTCGGTCACTCATTTTCATTGGACGTATTGCTAGTTAAACTGGTCGGCTTCAGGCTAGACTGCTCGAACGTGATCAAGACGGCATTGCTCAGCAGATACAAGGCGCTCAGGAACTAGTTGTGGGGAATATACCCCCAGGTACCACAAGATAGTAGAAGATATGCTAGGACTCTTATAGATATTGTAATCCAAATAGAATACCTTCTATATAGCCGACTATGATACTTTCTTTGTAACCCTACCCCTCTAGAGTATATAAGGAGGGGCACGGGTCCCCTAATCGCAATCGAGATCCAGATCTAGATACGAATCCTCGGCTTAGCCTAGGGTTATCTCATTAATACAATCCAACAGAACACAGGACGTAGGGTTTTACGTCATCTTGACGACCTGAACCTGTCTAAATCTTGTCTCTGTTACCATCTAGTTCCTGATCATACGCACCTCTACCACACAATCTACCATCGTGGGTATACCCCTCGGTGGACTACCGACCACATATCGTCGACACCCATGACCACCACACACTATATGGAGCTTCTCCACTTGGGAGAAGGTTTTCTGTTTCCCCACGAACCAAGTTGCCACTTGCCTTTCAATTAAGAAGAAATAAAGTTTCATGTACAAGAAAGGGTAGCCAAACCACATGATGCCTACAAAATAGAACACCCAAATGGCTAACCCACCCACGTGACACAACAAAGCACAAAAACTACTATGGTTCATCGTTGCTGAGCAGCCAATAGCTCCGACTTCCCATAGCAGACCCCAAACTCAAATGCATCGCGAAGAGCAGCTCCGACTTCCTGTCTCGAACCAAATGCCCTGCCCCCGGCAGCTGCCATACCTCACATGCAGAAACCCCAAGTCATCGATGAAGAAGAGTTTGCCCTGTGTCATCATCGCTGAGCCATATCCCTTATCACAGCAGCTCTGACTTCACGCTGCAAGACCAAACCCAACAAGTCAAGCAGGCACTGAGAAGTGAAGGGCCACCACCAAAAGGTTACATCCATCGAAGCCAAGTTGTCGCTCTTCAAAACATGGATGAGGTTTTCACCCTTGGAAGACAATGCTAGTGGGGAACACGATGCCCCCAGCATGAAAAACGGCATCCACGGGCGTCACCGTCGCCAAGGCTTTCACCCAAGGTGCTCCCTAGCACAACCGTCATGCCATGATGTGGATCACCCCTTGTTTGTCGCCGCCATCTTCGTCCTACCGGCCCATGGAAGCACCTCCAGAGGAGCATCGACGCGCCAGTTGCACACGACAGCCACTTAGTTGTGTAGGTCGCCACCCCCAACCACCGCCATCCTTGCCCTCCGTCGGACATCGGGCATCGAGCTCCAGCGGTGGCCAGAGTGAGGACGCAAGGGAGGGAGGTAGCTGGCGGCAGAGAAAGACGCCGCCCGAGTCACCCCTCGAAGAGAGAGGGACCCGAGGTCGGGGTGTGATACAATGCTTCTTCAAACCAAGTTGCCACTGTTCCACACTATTTGGAGGGTGGAGTCAAGTCTCAAGTGTGCTTAGGCTCACCAAATAGTGTTTGGAAAAAGTCTACTTAACCCCCTCTACTATTGGTAGTGGTCAACTTCACTCCCTCACCTATAAAACTAAGTATTCTACCCCTCAACCTATTGAAAACCGTCTAAATAATCCTTTGAGATGGTTTTGAAGGTGGTTTTGCTGACATGGCATATTAAAAAGTCTATATAACCCCTAACATATCAAGAATTGACTGCATGACCCCCTCAACTATAAAACATGATATTATTGCCTATAAAGCATCAAATAATGTTCAAATGACTCATGGGCTAGGGTCGTTTGGACACCGTATCCTGCCACACTAGCCTAAACACACATGCTTGCATGCAGGCCATTTGTTGCCTCCACCTCCCTACTCTTTCTAGGTTGACCCATCGTCCAACGAGCATCATGTGACATCTTGTCTCCTGCTTCACCTCCCATCACTCGTCGATAGCATTGAGCTCAAGCACGCCACATCTACATTGTCATCGTTCAGCCCCTCCCACATTGGTGGTTAGCACAAGCCTAGAAAGAGTTCAGCAAGGGAGGTAGCCAGTAGGACTGTGTGCAAGCATGTGTGCTTAGGCAAGTGTGGTGGAATACGATGTCCAAATGACCTTACATGACCATCATTTGAACATTATTAGAAGATTAAATATCACCTTTTATAGTTGAGGGGGTCATACAGTCAATCCTTGATAGGTTAGGGGGTTATATAGACTTTTGAATGTCACGTCAGCAAAACCACTTTCAAAACCACCTTAGGGAGTTATTTAGACGATTTTCAATAGTTCAAGAGTTAGAATACCTTGTTTTATAAGTGAGCGAGGGGTGAGGTAGACAACCACCCATGAGGGGGGTTAAGGTTGACTTTTTCCAATAGTGTTTGCAACAAGGGCCTAAACTGCAGTTTTTAAAAAAAAAAAAAGGGCCTAAACTGTTTCTTACATGGGCTTTATTTTCAAAGTCCTCGTCTTAGACAGTCCGGCAAGGCGGCAATCTGAATCCTCTGTTCCCTGCGTGGGCAACTTTCCATCTCCTCTGCTCTCCGTTAGCATCTCGAATCCTGCTCCCTGCTCGCTGGGCGCTGGCAGCACCGGCGCCCGCTGCCTGTTCGACGAAATGCTGAAGAACGACGAGGGAGCATCTCATCCCATCTGCACTCTCCCGCGACACGTGGTTTCCTCTATAACTCTGCCAGAGGACGAGGCAGTTTCGACCTGCGCGCCCGCTCGCCGGCAGCTAGGGCGGTCTACAGAATGTGGAATGGAGGTCCACCGTCCGTGCCCGTCCTGGGCGTCACCAATACGGATGGAGCATGGAAGAGGGTCCAACGGCGGACTGCTTGCTGTTTGCGTTACGCAGAAGAGCCAAACTGTGGCACACCAGCCTGCCATTCGTTCGACAGAATGCCTGAGGGCGTGCTTCCAGCAGCAAGAAGACTGCTGCTGCTGCTGCTAGTGGGCGTTAGCGTCCTCCGGGAGGATCCCATACCATCCGGCAACGTCATCCACAAGGTTGTTTACTACAACTATCTGGCTACATCCGTCGATGCTTTAACCTGCTGCCATCTTATAACTAATGGGAGGTTGTTGGTAATATACTGTATCATTTTATGATACTTCTGCTTGTGGAACATCTGCTGGACTTGGGCTCGTATGGCCAAGCCGCCAAGGAATGAAGGAGATGGGAAATCACCGTGCAAGTGTAAGCAAACCAAAGGCACGTCACAAGATATTCCGTTGTTTTTAAAGTGCAAACTCATGTACATTTGCAGACATTCAAATTGAAGACCCAGAGAATTATTAAGGCATGGAAGAACAAATCTAGAAACATTTGAACATGGACGCGTCATTAGTCCACTACTTTGTATCGACAACAAGTACTAGCAAGAGTAGTGCTTTAGCCTTTAGCAGTGGAGGTTCTGTTCATGCCCCACCACTCTGATGCCCGGGTACAGTTTCAAGCTTTCGTTTGGCAGGATGTTTCGCTTTGCTTTTCTTTATCATTATTGACTAGACTTTTGTTGGCCAGGGAAGTTTCGCTCTGCCTTTCTTTATCATTATTGACTAGACTTGTGTTTGGCAGGGAAGTTTCGCTTTGTTCACAGACTTGTTGAAATGCCTCTTCCTCACTAAAGTTATAGGACACAACTGGCCTCACTTCACTACCACTGGAGGTTTGGAGCTACCAAAGGCACCATTTTTCTCTCTGCTGTCTCGCTAAGCTGCATCACCTACCTTCTGCGGCTCTGCATCCGGCATCCTGATTCTCCTGAACCCAGAAGTTCTGTGATTTTTAGAGTGTGAAATGCAGTGCCATGTCTCGAGTTATGGAGTAGAAGAAAGAAGCTGTCTGAGCTGAAATTCGAGGTACCTACTTCGATCCAGCACAATGTCTGATGAATAGTTCTGCACATCATTCTTATGTGGTTTGCTCAGTAACCAAGTCGATTTTTTCCCCTTATGAATCTTATCAGTGAGTTCTGTACATACCAGACGTCTGATTGCCGTTGCTCAGATTTTCTGGAGCCTTTGGTATGCTGATCTTTGACTGTATTCTCACATATATCCTTGTGGTTCGTGATGATATTATACATATATCCCTGTATTTTCTCAAACATGCAGACAGTTATTTCATAACTTTATTTATTCTCTTGTTGACAATTAATGTTTGTACATTAACAGTAGCAGTATCGCAGAAGCTTGTAAAACTAAGTATGACTGTTGGTTGCAATTTCATTCACAGGGACTTCACAAGAGTGTTTATGAAATATGACCGGACTAGAGGCTGCCTTAGCATCTGGACTGCTGAAAGTCGTAGGCAGCAAGTTAGCTCCACTGATTGCCAGTGAATTTGCCTCCATAATGGGTGTAACAAAAGACATCTCTGAGCTGCAAGATATACTTGTGGAGATTACAAGCTGGCTGTTCATAGTTCGTGATACAATAGAGAGTGAGCCATCCTGTCAATGGATTTTAAATGTTGCTTATGATATCGATGATTTACTAAATGAAGTCTTGATAGAGGCCGAGAAACACAAGATGGGCATCAACGGTGATAACTGTTCTATAGCTGATTATTTCTGTGCAAAACCAAAGTCATTTCTATTCCGACGCAAGGTGGCTCATAAGATCAAGGCAATTAAACAGAGATTCTCTGAAATTGTAAAGCAAAGAAGCGATATCACTACTATACTGAATAATTTGCCTTCTTATCAGCATGTTCCGAGTAAAAAGAGGACAAATGGGGAGCTGTACTTGTTGAGCAATGTTGAACAATCGAGAATACCCATAAGGAATCTGGAGAAGGATGGCATCATAACAAAGCTTATAGAATCTAATGAAGGAGAGAATGACTGGATTGTTTCTATTGTCGGGTTAGGTGGATCTGGCAAAACTACGCTGGCCAAACAAATCTGCCAAGATGACAAGATAAAGCAGCACTTCAAATCTACAATATTTTGGGTTCATGTGTCTGAAGAATTTGATGTGGAAGAGCTTATCGGCAAGCTTTTTGAAACTATCCTTGAGCAAAAATCAGATCTCCATGCCCAACAGCACATGTCCATGCAATTTCAAGCAAATTGAGAGGCAAGAAATTTCTTCTTGTCCTGGATGATGCTTGGCATGATGACCGGCTTGACTGGGAACAATTCATGGTTCTTGTGAACTGTGGAGCACCTGGAAGCAAGATTCTGCTAACTACTAGTGATCAAAAGGTTGCAGAAGCAGCAAAATCTAGGAATATATTCATCCTGGCTTTCTTGTCAGAGGTCGAGAGTTGGACCTTGTTTCTAGAGAATTCTGGGTTGGTCGAGGATGATTTGGAGTCTGAGTTTATACAGGTTGGAAAAGAGATTGTGAATAAATGTGGTGGGGTGCCGCTAGCAATCAGAACTCTAGGTGGTGTCCTCTATGACAAGAGGGAAATAAACACTTGGAGGGCCATAAGAGAAAGTAACTTATGGAGTGTTGATAGTATAAAAGACAGAGTGTTTGCATCACTGAAATTGAGCTACTTTCACTTGCCAGATCATCTGAAGCAGTGCTTTACATTTTGCTCTATATTTCCGAAAGGCTATGAAATCACAAAAGACCACTTGATTGCCCAATGGATAGCCCATAGATTCATTAATCCAATGAATGAAGAGCTGACAGAAGATATTGGAAGTGCTTACTTTGATTCTCTTACAAAACTCTGCTTTCTTCAAGATGCACCAAGAAATATCTTCACTTGTCAACTAGTATACAAGATGCACAACCTGATTCATGATCTCACTCGACAAATTTTACAGCATGAAATGGTGACATCTCTACAGAAGAATGTGGCACCAAACTGTGTTCTCAGATGCTGATATTTATCTTTGACTTCAACTACCGAGAAGGTTTCCAGTAACCTATTTGACAAGGCCCATGCTCTCTATGTCTCTGGTGGTAACATATCTTTTGACAAACCAATGAAGAAGTGTTGCAACATCCGTAGTGTTGTTCTGGACTATACAACTGATACACCATTCCCTCTATTCATACTAAAGTTTGAATTTCTTGGTTACCTAAGGATATGTAATATTAATTGCACGGAATTTCCAGAAGCTATCTCAAGCTGTTGGAACTTGCAGGCACTTCATGTTATGGAGTGCAAAGGCTTTTCAACATTACCTGAGTCTATTGGCAAGCTTAAGAAGCTGAGAACTCTAGAGCTGTTGATGGTTAGTGACCTTAGGAGTCTACCTCAATCTATTGGTGATTGTCAAGATCTGCGATCTTTGCAGCTATATTCCTGCAACGCACTCATTGAGATACCCAGTTCCATAGGTAAGATTGAAAAGTTAAGTGTGCTTGATATTGTCAATTGTGTATGTGTGCACAATCAGCTGCAAAAAATTACTTGGGAGCATACAAATATGGATAGAATTAATTTATCTGGTTGTCATAATCTCAGAGATCTTCCAAGTGTCTTTTCTTGTCGTACATTGCACACTCTGGATCTTACTCGAACCAATATCACCTTGCTTCCTAAATGGGTCACATTAATTGGTACTCTGGAATGCATAAAGCTTCAATATTGCATGAAGTTTGTGGAGTTGCCCAAAGGCATAACAAACTTAAGAAGGCTCGAAGTATTGCACTTAAATGGTTGCTCAAAACTTCGTTGTATGCCATCAGGGTTTGGTCACCTGACTCGTTTGAGATGGCTTGGCCTGTTTGTTGTGGGATGTGGTGGAGATGATGCAAGACTATCAGAGCTTGAAAATCTTGATATGATTAGTGGTTGGCTGAGAATTTGTAACCTCAAATATCTGAAGGATCCAGGTGAAGCCAACAAAGCTTGCTTGAAGAAGAAGAATAACATACATTCGCTGACATTGAATTGGTCTCGTGAAACGGAAGAAGAATTAGTGTCAGATATTGAAGACCTGAGCGTGCTGGACTCTCTTGAACCACCATCAGGAATTGACTTCTTACAAATTATTGGTTATCAGGGTCCCCATTTGCCATGTTGGATGAGGAAGCAACATGATTCTTCTTGTTTGGAATCCATTATGCCAAATCAAACCAGCCCACCAAAATTCCTTTGGCTAACCGAACTATCACTCGAACTCTTGCTGAACTTGAAGTCTCTGCAAGGACTTGTGGAGTTGCCGTCATTGAAGAACTTATTGTTGATTGGAATGCCTAATTTGGAAGAGCTGTGGATTACAAATGGTTTGGAAACTGGTGAGGAACAGGTAGGAGTGCAGTATTGTTTCCCTGTGCTGACCAATCTAATTATAAAGCGCTGCCCAAAATTGTTTGTGAAGCCCTGGTTGCTGCCATGCTTGGGGTTGACATTCGAAGAAAGCAATGAACAGCTGCTGTCCCCAGGTAGTTTGTTCTCCTATCTGCCTACACCTCCAGTGTCATCCTCCTGCAGCGTGCTTGTGGCAGTTCCTACTCTCAAGGAGCTGAGGCTACACAGAGTGACGGGCTCAGCACCGGTTTGGCAAGTTTTACAGCACTTCACCTACCTCCAGCTGCTACACATCGTGGAATGTTCCACTCTTTGCACGCTGCCTGAGGGGATCGAGCACCTCACCTCCCTTCAACAGCTCGAATTGGTAGAATGTGATGCATTGACATTGCTTCCAGAGGGGATCGGACAACTATCTGCACTTCGATCACTCCATATCTACGGACGTTCTGCCCTTGAATCCCTGCCCCAGTCCATAAAACGTCTTACAGCCCTGCAGACATTGTACGTTTTTGGCTGCCGTGGCTTGACCAAGCGTTATGAGGAAGGAGTGGGGGATGACTGGCACCTTATCTCCCATATTCCTGATGTGACGATGGTTGATATGGAGCTTCTAGCCCAACGTCACAGAGCATATGCATCTATTACCTCTTGAGTTAGGTGGTATGGGTAATTCTACGTCATCTCTTAGCACTCTTTTACAGGTAATATGGTGCTTCAATCCTAATATACATATTCGTTATTACTAAAATGAAATATTACAGACATTTTAGCCTAATAACCCATATTAGCAACAGCGGCTAAATCATTTCTCACTCTCCAGTATCTTCCCTCTGGCATCAATGAATCTTGATCTCATATCGTACGCATGAGTTCATGACATTGGTAATGTCCAACCCTTGGAATGATCTACCTGTTATAGACTTGCCCTTTTTGCAAACATTTTAGGTTAGGTTTTTGTGACTCCTAGAATCACTCAGAAAATAAACTATGGCATTGGATTGGTTTCATATTTGTCAGGAAAATATATCATTTTTTTTGGAAAGTTTGAAAATTGATTTTAAATTTAGTAAATCATTTTAGTTTCGAATGTTTAGTTTTTTAAAAGTTTCTGGGTCTGGTGTTTGTGTGAGGTTTCATTTTTATACAAACTATGCTGAAAGTTTTTAATGTTTTGACTACTATGTTTAATTATCTATAGAACCAAATTTACAGGTCTCACAACCTTTGTTTGGTTGCTGAATGCTTTGGGCCGTTAGTTTATTCTCCAAATTTTCCTTGCCAATATGTTGTTTTGAATTATCTTCAGGACATATACAGGAATAAAATTCATGGAGGCATGCAGTTACTCAGGATTCAGGATCCAGCCTATCTTTGTCCCTCTTAGCACATTATACGGCTTCCTTTAGTTTAAGATAAGAACCTCCTGTGGAGATTTTGCTTGCTTTGGAATTATAAATCTACCCAATCCATCAGCAAGGAGGTAATGGATTTACTATTTGCCTTTTTGTACCATACTACCATTTGCTTTTGGGAATCCTTCGCATGAGTTAGGTATTGAAGAGAGTATTTTGCTATGTGGCAGGCCCACATGTAATGGATGCAGTTTAATGAAGTGGACTAACCTTGTGTGCATCTAGCATTTACTCCTTGCCTTCCAAGAGAAGGGAAAGAGCTCTCAAGCCAATGATTCAGACTCCAAACAAGAGAGAACCTCAACAATAAAACAGGAAGAACCAGCAAGATAGAAGAGGAGAAATAAAGGGAGAACAAGGTGGCTGGAGAGGAGACCAAGAATGAGATCAAGTGGGGCTCATCCTCAAGATTGTGAAACTCTAAATCCACAATTTTGGTGCCTCCAATATTTTCTTCCATCTTTGGTGATGTCCTTCGATTCTCTAAGCCAGCAACACTTAAATATTATTGGTATTTTCAATGTATGAATGCATCTTATCGTGTTCTAAATGTATGTGATTGGCTTGGTTTTGTTGTTTTACCCCAATTTGTGGTGTTTCACTACAAGAAACATGACCTTCTGTGCTGAATACGTTCTGACAACAGAGCTATTCGTCATTGGGTCGTTCCATTTTGTAGGGATCGTTATGGCTAAGTAACAGAAATTGTCACAAATTAGTCCAATGGCCTATTGTGATGAACATTTATTCATACGAGGCCAGCCAGCAACCATCATAAATTTTGGTATGTCAGGTTTTTTCAATACACAAAGAAAATCTTATACAGTTTGAAGTAACTAAAACTACGCCTCTTCAACTTTCTAGTAAATTAGTTAAAAAAAATAGAACTTACATGCATTGGTTTTTCAAATGCACTTCTCAATTCTCAAAAAAAAAATCACTTCTCAGATTATTAAATAAAACCGCCAAATAAGCATGTAAGTTGGCTATAAACAGAGCTATTCGTCATTGGGTCGTTCCATTTTGTAGGGATCGTAATGGCTAAGTAACGGAAATTGTCACAAATTAGTCCAATGGCCTATTGTGATGAACATTTATTCATACGAGGCCAGCCAGCAACCATCATAAATTTTGGTATGTCAGGTTTTTTCAATACACAAAGAAAATCTTATACGGTTTGAAGTAACTAAAACTACGCCTCTTCAACTTTCTAGTAAATTAGTTAAAAAAATAGAACTTACATGCATTGGTTTTTCAAATGCACTTCTCTATTCTAAAAAAAATGCACTTCTCAGATTATTAAATAAAACCGCCAAATAAGCATGTAAGTTGGCTATAAATAATCTATAAAAACGATAATTTTGCATCTCACCATCACATGGGTGAGCATTTGTTTGTCCCTAACTCTACTTTATCTCTCCTTTGTTCAAATTTGATATTATGCCAGTTTCGAGTTCAGCCAAACCTTGACAAAATCTCTATCCAGCTCACAAATTAGTCCTTGGACTGAATATCAGATGTCCCCGTGGGCTATTTTCCTTTTCTTTGTTTCTCCTTTGTCTTCCCATCACTCAAGACTAATCCTACATCTAAAGACAAGAAAGCGTGTGGGCTACCCACACGGCCAGCCACCCGGCGCCGTTCGGCCGCTCGATCGTTTAGGGCCCAGCGGATTTGGATGGTTATATTTTGGAAAATCAACCCGCGCTCCAGAGGCCCTCTCTCGTTGCAAATAACACCTCGAGATAATTTTCAAATCAACCCGCAGATCCGTAAGCGGATGAGCTCCGGATTTTTGCAAAAAAAACCTTCCTTTATCAAAAAAACCCGAACTCCAGAGACACTCTCACGGATATTTTTCGAAAACCTCCTCATATTTTTCTCAAATCGAAATACAGGCCCCCCTTGATTATATCTTTTTTTTCCCAAAAAATACGTGTGGCCAGTGGCCCGCGCGCATGGGCGCGCCCGAAGAACTAGTTGGTATGGATGTAAGTGGGCTAGCCCGCTACCCGTATATAGGTTTAATTTTATTTGTTTTCAGCGGCAACCCACAAAATTAAGCCTATATATGGCGGCTTCATAGGCTAACCCACTTGCATCCCTACCTATTGGCCTAGCTTGCTTTCCCTCTATCTTCTCAGCCCGAGTGATGTAGGGAAGGAAGCTGGGTCAGACATTGATTTAGTCCAATGTGGAGGAAAGATGAGGCTTTTAGGTGAAGTAGGTTCATCCCGAGATGAAAATGAAGTCAGACCGAAAAGAGAAAAAGAAGAAAAGATAAATTATATGAGGCATTCAAGCTGAATTGTTGCCTGGGGTTTGCCACACAACGAGACACGTCCATTCCCAACCAACATCATGACCTGCTCATGTAACATCATGTTGCTAGTCGAGGATGAGCGTGTCTCATGCTGCACCATAGTTGATCTATTGGTTTTTCTCCTATGGTGCAGCCTGGGCTGTCTGTTGGCTGCTAACTCTTATGTCCAGGCAAACAAACAATCCCTTTGCAGTATTGTCCAATGCTTGGTTCATGTTGTCCAGTGCTTGCTTGATTAAACCTCTTTGACTTTTTATTGTCCAGTGCTTGCTTGATTTCTGCCTTCATCTTTTCTGACTCTTTCAGTGCCACCGGCGATTCTTTATGACTGTCAACTTGAAAGAAATCTGAGGCCAACATCTTTATTTGGCAGTGATGTCTTTGATGTTGGATGGATTAGGATGCAGGCCATCTAGTTTGCTTCCTGCATCTTCTCCTGGTGCCCAAACCAAATTTAACTTTGGTTCAACACTAGAGTCTTGGTACCATCCATCCATAACACACTAAGATCATCCGTAGAGTCTTGGTACCATCCATCCATAACACACGTTCATCTCCTTGCATCCAAGTTGGTACCATCCATCCATAAACATGTTCATCTCCTTGCATCCTGTGCCATTAATTTGGTTTGGTAATCTCCTCATCTCCTGTAACCGATGAGCCATAATGCCATGAATCCTTTGCATATTGTAGGAACTGAAGCTCCAGGAATTTCCTGGAATGGAATACATTTCTCTCTCTATCTCAGTGTTATACATATACACACACTAATGGGCTAGGCCCAATACATATATATATTACATATAGCCCAACACTCCCCCTCAAGATGGATGATAGATATCTATGATTCCCATCCTGCTACATGCTATATTACATTCTTTTGCTCCTAAACCCTTAGTAAGACAATCTGCTATTTGACCTCCTGAGCTAACATGACTCAACTGAAGAGTGCCATCATCTAGCTTCTCTTTAATGAAGAAGCGATCGATTTCTACTTGTTTTGTTCGATCGTGCTGAACTGGATTATTGGTTATGTTGATAGCCGACTTGTTATCACACCAAAGCTTCAATGGTCCTTTTCTTAGCACATTTAACTCTGACAGAAGACTTCTTGACATTGCTCTATATTCTGCTTCAGCTGTCGAACGAGACACAACTGACTGTTTTTTGCTTCTCCATGATATCAAGTTTCCTCCAACAAAAACATAATAGCAAGATGTCGATCTTCTATCATCAAGGCAGCTTGCCCAATCAGCATCGCAATAACCCTCAACATTTAGATGCCCATGGCTCTTGAACATAAGTCCCTTTCCAGGGCTACTCTTCAAATATCGTAATATCCGATAAACAACATCTAAATGCTCACTTGTTGGATTGTGCATATATCGGCTCACAACACTCACAGCATAGGAAATGTCAGGTCTCGTATGGCATAAGTAGATAAGCTTTCCCACAAGCCTTTGGTATATCTCTTTATTCACTGGATCACCTGATTCAGCACATAACTTGTGGTTTGGATCAATAGGTGTTGTTGCAGGTCAACACCCAAGCATGCCTGTCTCACTGAGTAAATCTAATACATACTTTCTCTGTGAGAGAATTATACCTTTTGGAGATCGAGCAATCTCAATGCCAAGGAAGTACCTGAGTTGACCGAGATCCTTCACTTCAAATTCCGTGCTCAATTTTTTCTTCAGCTTTTTTATTTCTTCTTCATCATCGCCTGTAAGAATGACATCATCCACATATACAGCTAGGACGATGATCTGTCGTCAGGAATGTCGGTAGAAAACAGTATGATCCCCATTGCACTATTTGTATCCCATATCACCTATCAAACCATGCTCGTGGAGACTTTGAGACCATATAGAGATTTCTTCAATCTACAAACCTTCCCGATAGTCTTAGATTGAGAGAAACCAGGTGGAATCTCCATATACACCTCCTCTTGAAGATCACCATGCAAGAAAGCATTCTTCACATCCAACTGGTGCAAGGTCTAGCCAAAGTTTGCAGCACATGAAATCAATGTTCTTACTGTACTCATCTTTGCCACCGGTGCAAATGTCTCATCGTAATCAATTCCATATGTTTGACTGTATCCTCTAGCAACCAATCTTGCTTTATACCTTTCTACCTTTCCTTCTAGATTTTGCTTCACGGTAAAAACCCACCTGCAACTAACAGCTTTCTTCCCAGCAGGTAATTGTACAAGATCCCATGTTTTGTTCTTTTCAAGGGCTCTTAACTCATCTAACATGGCCTCACGCCATTTAGGGTCTTGATTTGCTTCTTTCCAGTCTTTAGGAATAACAATAGACTGCAATGATGCAATAAATGCTCTATATGCAGGGGATAATGATGCATAAGAAACATAGTTACCAATGTCATGCTCAAATCCGTACATTGATGGGGGCACACCAGCCTTAGCTCGTGGTCCTTTTCATAATGCTATGGGCAAATCATCTAAAGTAGAGTCTTCAATCTCAGTCTCCGGAGCCGATGATACATCAACAGCCTCTTGAGAGGCCGAGGAAGAATGTTCATGAGTTGTTGGTGTTGCTGTTGTGGGAACCTCTTCCTGAGATTTATACTTCCTCCTTGTATACACTTTCAAGGGACCCTTATATCGTGGGTTATCAGCTCTAGAATTATCCTCTTGACATAGAGTTGAATCCAAGCCACTTTCCTTCTCTCCCATTATTGGTTGGGAATTCGAGCCCTTAATCACCACTTCCATTTTCTTTAGATTTTGCACAGTTGGAATAGATATCACATCATTTTTCTCCCCTGTCGATTAACTTCATCTGATTCAACAGAGTCAAACTTTGACAAAAAATTCAGATCAGTCTTCTCTCCATAGAAGGGCACTGATTCCCTGAATGTCACATCCATGCTAACAAACAAGCATCGCTCACTAGGACTCCCAACATTTGTAGCCCTTTTGTCCTGAAGAATACCCCACAAAGATGCACTTTATAGCACACGGATCCAGTTTTCCCACTGAGGGTCTGTGATCCCACACAAAGCATGTACATCCAAAGACCTTAGGTGGAACCACAAACTTATTTTCACCTAACAACATCTCACAAGGAGTTTTCATCCCAAGTATTCTTGATGGGGTACGATTGATGAGATATGTAGCTGTCAACACAGCTTCACTCCATAGGAATTTAGGCACATTCATAGTAAACATCAGTGAGCGAGCAACCTCCAAAATATGACGATTTTTCCTCTCAGCCACGCCATTTTGTGGAGGTGTATCAGGGCATGTGGTCTGATGCAATATACCATTTGCTGATAGAAATGAACTGAATTCCTTGTTCACATATTCAGTCCCATTATCTGTTCTTATTGTTTGAACCTGAGCATTGAATTGAATCTTCACAAGTGTGCAAAAATCTTGAAAGCATTTCAACACCTCATCTTTGTGCTTCATAAGGTATACCCATGTCATCTGGGAAAAACAATCAATAAAAGTGACAGTATTTCATTCCACTAATAGAAACCACAGGACATGTCCAAACATCTGATTGGATCAGCACAAAAGGTGACACATTCCTGATGCCCCTACTTACATAGGATGGCCTTGTGTGTTTTGCAAACTCACAGGCATCACAAAAGAGTTTGTTTCTATCCACCCCACACATTACATCAGGAAAGACTTTATACATTTTGTCAAAGGACAGGTGTCCCATTCTACAATGCAAAAGCATCACCATAGATTCCTTTTCTCCAACAGCTGCTGCTAGGACAGTACACAAAGCATCATTTGTCCCCACACGGTCCATGTACCACAGCCCACTATGCCTGGTTGCACTCCCAATATTCCTCCCTATTCGTCTTTCCTGAATTAAACAATTTTCCTTATCAAGAATAACTTGGCAATCCAACTGATCAACTAGAGCACTTAATGATATAAGATTGACTAGAAAGGCTGGCACATGCAATACTGATGATAATTGGATATATGGAGTGCACTGGACTGTGCCAACACCTTTAATGGGTTGTGATGTACCATCAGCAGTTTGTGTAGTTTCTTTACGTGTGGGGGGATATTGCATATATGAAACAAACTCACTTGATGTGCCTGTGACATGCTTTGATGCCCCTGAATCTAGGATCCAATTTAATTTTGATATTTGAGTTGGAATAGATGCATGGGCATAATTACCTTCATCTATATATGCAAAGTTGATGAAGTCGCCACTAGGGGCCTCCTGGACTTGATCTTCAGGTCTTCCACATTTTCCTTTCACATGCCTCAGTTCAAGGTCCACTGATGAAGCTTCGCTTGCCTTCGAAAATTCCTCCTGTGTGCCCGCTACATTCGCCCTGTAACCACCTCTACCTCCATGGCCTCTACCACCTCTTAGAGCACCCCTGCTACTGCCTCTTCCTCTTCCACTATTGGGCTTAAGTGGCTTGGGACAATCACGAATCAAATGTCCAAGGTCACCACAATTGAAACACCTCCTGTCCTCTTTAACTCCTGTTGCTGCAAAGATGGGAGTAGATGGAGAGGAGGAATTTCCTTTCATCACATTTAGCCTAGACTCCTCCCGTGTTATAGTGCCTATAGCCTCCTCAGGGCTAGGAAGACTAGGCTGATGGAACATAGTAGAGCATCTACCCTCAAACTCTGGATTTAATCCCCTCAAAAATTGTATGACTCTTTTTTCTTCTATCCACTTCTTCACCCAAGCAACACATTCAGAGTGTGGTAATTCGATGGGTTTTAGATAATCAGCATCAGCCCATAAGCCCTTTAACTCAGCAACATAGTCTGCTACAGATCGCTCCCCCTGTTTGAGATCATGGAGGCGATCTTCTATTTCAACCATCAACATCACATTACCAATCCCAGAATACATCTTCTCCAAAGATTTCCATATCTCAGCTGCACTTATTATTGTATCAACAGTACTAGCAATGGCCGGAGTCATAGAACTCAACATCCATGCTGCTACCAAGGAATTAATAGCATCCCATGTACTGCATTCAGGACTACATTTATTTTCTGGCTCAGGTGATCCTCCATTTACAAAACCTTCAAGCCTTCTCGCTTTCAACAGACGGAGTGCCCTTCTAGACCAGGCCAAATAATTTTTGGTGCCCTCTAGCTTGATATCATTTGGCATCAATTCTATCTTCTTGACTGGTTCCATGTGAATCACAGCATCCTTACTCGAACTTGGAGCCTCATCCTTTTTTGCAGCAAGTAGTTCTACCAATTTTCCAAGCACTTGCTCAATTCCTTGATTTTCCCCCATGATTTAATGTTGCCAGGGCCTTCTTCTTGTAGCTTCCACAACTGAAGAACAACAGAGCAGTATAGCAGCAGCTCCAATGCCTTCTGCACCTGCAGTTCTTCTACTGAAGAGACCAAAGAACAGAGCACTGCAATCTCCCTCCAATAGCAGCAGCTCCTCTGCCTTCTGCAGTCCAGCTCCTCACAAATCCACTCCTAGGATGTACACCGCACACACCCCAGGCAACAATTCCTTCTGCAACACAACAGCACCGGAAGAGCAAAAGCACACGCACCTCAATCTCCTCAGAACTTGCCTCTCCTTCCAGATCCCGTCCAGCTGCTTCCCGTGCTGCTACTTCTAGCTCTTGCTTGCTTTCTCCTCCTCCTCCTCCTGCTGCTGCAGCAGCTCCCAATCCACACACAGCACAAACTTGAGCACACGCCTCTCCACCGCCCCTTCCACCACGCAGCGCCAAGTCGCCCGATGTGCACGTCAGCAGCACCAACTCCTTCCCAGCGGCAACCTCCTGACCACCAGCCTCAGCCTCCTCACCGCCGCCCTCGCCATCACTGGCCTGGCTCCGACACCATGTAGGAACTGAAGCTCCAGGAATTTTCTGGAATAGAATACATTTCTCTCTCTATCTCAGTGTATACATATACAAACACTAATGGGCTAGGCCCAATACACATATATATATTACATATAGCCCAACACATATCATCAGTTTTTGTGAGAGGGACCTCTGGGCTCTAGCGTTCTGTTGCCATGCCTCCACCCACTGCTCTCCTCCTGTGCTATAAAATCAGTCTAAATTCATGGACAATATCATTCCAGATTGTGCTATACTGCTCTCACTTTGTCTCTCCACCTTTTCCTTTTGCAGCTTCTGATCCTACATGAGTGTTATTCAGCTTCGGTGATGCTTTCTTATGATTCTCATTTCCATCCCCGATTAAGCTGTAACTATTGAGGGTTTCAGAGTTGTGCTCTTGCACTCTTGCTCTCACAGTTGGCCCATGCGTGTTTCTAGAAGTACCACATACTCCTTGGCAACCAGATCAAGTGCTAAGTGAACACTAGGTGAGTTTAATTTGTAATACATGATGACAGATGCATCGCGCTATTGACGCCATCACCAAGAAGCTTCTGCACATCGCAGGCATCAACACCAGTGAGGCATTCCTTCATGTCATGAAAGCTCATGCGTCATTGAAACTAAAAAAGCATCCAGCATTGCTCAAGGTTTTCTGGGATTCTTACCTAGGGTGGCACAGTGTTTGACACCAAATGTCTTGCGTTATTTATTTGCCGCAAATTTAGAAGCCCATATATACTTATTATAATTGTAGCAGATGAATTTAGTTATCAAGCACTAATATATCTCTAATTTTCACTATACGGGTTGCCTTAAATACTTTAAGTTTTGTTATAGAAAAAAAATTCAGTCTTCACCATAAATTATCCGGTGAATAATTGGTAACCATTCAGAGAAGAATATATTTTCATTTCACTGTGTCATATTGCACCAATTTTCTTTCGTATGAAAATATCATGGGTGGACATTCGGTGTAATTGACTTTTCGTATTTTTTTTTAATAGATGACATGCATGTGAACATTGGACATATTTTAATTCCACAATTTTTTCAGCAAGGTTTCCACTTTCATCTAACAACCATCTACATTTCAACATCTAATTTCCGCAGCAACGCGCGGAGAATACATCTAGTTTCATTAATCGAACAGGGCAACTAGAGAAGTCGGGGGATTATTTGGAAAACAGGAACCTACATACAGACACAAAACTCCAAACTTTTAATTAAGTCAGAACTTAGAACATCATTGGATGACTTTTTTCCACATCAAAGTTACAATCCATGGCCATTAATAAGTACAAGGTCACATATCTGCCTCATTTAGGAAGAACAAGACAATAGGTATGCACATAACAAGATACATACAACTGGGTTGATCTGGCATACTACCAGGAAATGAACAGCTAGACACCTTGAGCAAGCTGTGCTCAGGAAAGGTTGCAAGAAACAGCGTAGCAATGTAAACCAGGTCCAGCAAGATAATAGGAACAACTAATCACTGACTCTTAAGTTGGCATTACACGGATAGAACTGGGAAACAATCATAGAGACAAAAGGCACCATGCTTACTCAATTGGCAGATAAGAGCTTCCCCCGGATGAAACTTATCAGATAATCTTAACTTGGTACAACAAGTGGAGGAACTTAAAACAATCCCAAAGGAAGAAGCCAGCATTCTTAATGTAATTAAGTGGCAGAAGATCAGTCTTCAGCTTTAAGCTTCTATTCCACGAAACTAAAACCTGTACAAAATTGAAAAGCATAGTAAGTGCCAAGGTGTATCATCTGACAAATTATTGAGAGGTAAAAAAGGCAAGTAAAGATGAGACGCAGGAAAGGACTAGCATATGAAAATTTCACTCAACTAAACTGTAGCGAACTGGAATATTCCAAACCTGTACAGCTAAAATGTAGCTACAGTAGAATCCTTAATAAATTACTTTCTTCACTCAAGGGCATGCCATCTTGAGGACATTGGAAGTCTTTCACATGCAACTTTGAATTTGACCTAAATAAGTATCTTGGTATACTATTGTGTTTTTGACATGCAGCTTTGAATTTTACCAAAATAAGTATCATGGTATACAATTGTGTTTTTGTTTTTGACATGCAATTTTGAGTGCCACCTTTTAAATAAAATATGTTTGCACAGAATTGTAAAATGAGTGACCAATCTAAACATTATTTTATATATTTATAGATGGAGGCAGTATTTTCATTAGTTTTGAAGTAACATCTTCACTACAAACACAATTAGTATGAAAATCAAGATATTCAATAGAGGCGGATAGCCCTTAATGCAGAATCATAGATGATAAGGTGGATAGCAAAGCTGAGAAATTAAAGTAGTCAAATGGAAATGGATTTGGGTATCGCATCTTTGCATAGAACTCGTCTACTCTCCTAACGGTTCAAACAGCACTGGATACAGCTTTCTAAGATTGTGAAAACAGATTCAAGGGTCCAAAGTATCATAATGGTTAACCCAACAATAAAAAAATGAAACAAGGAGGGAAACAGATAAGAATATTCTACTAAGACACTCATACTCTAGTGAGTGTGAGGGAGGGAGGCAGGGAGGGGGGAGAGACTCCCAATGAACAAAGAGGGTATTATCAACTGAACTTCTGAAAGTAACAGTTAACACAACCTAGAAATTACATATACAGCAGGAGCTATTAAAAAACCGACATTAGGACATATTTGTGTTATGGTACAGAAATAATTAACACATTATACTACTGCTCTGCCCCAAAATTAGTGCACATGTTTTCTTTCTCTAGCTGAGTTCATTCACTTTCCTATAGAAGTTAGGAGTTACTTTGTTGCTTTCTCTTTCCCACATACAGAGGCAAACAATTGTAATGTGGAAGCACGGAAAATGAGTCTATGTGTCCAAACACATGTGAATAAAATGGATCTGGTATTTTCCACTTCCCATCACCAAAATATGGTGCAAGACTTTCATTTCCACAATAACTTGGTATACCCAAATCACTGCTTTAGTAACTAACATAGAGTTTCTTCATTGCTTGCCACTTTAATTTACATGAGAGTGTTGCTAGCTAACTTACTGATGTTAAGTTTGCTCAGGAACTTCAAAACTTTAAGAACATTTCCATCAACCCCTCCACAAATGATTTTAACTCCCTTAAGGTGTGATGATATGGTTGGTGGTAGCTCCTTTGGATTGAACCTTCCTTTCATTCCCACACAATCTTCCTCCATCTGCATTATCATAAAGATTTCACCAAGATCAACTGACAATCTACATAAAGTTCTACGACGCAACAGTTGCCAATTTAAAAATTGTTTACCTTGAAATATAGAAAAAGAATAAGCTCCTCTAAAACTGGTGAATGTTGAAGAATACATGCTAGTGGATGCTCATCAGGAACACACCAATTTTCATTGAGAGTCAAAGACTTCAATTGATTAAAAGTAGGGCAAAGTCTCAAATCCCTTCTGAAAATGAACTGGACATATAGCAACTAGATAAATCAATAAATCTTTAATATATATATATAAACATGATGTTTGAAAAAAGATGAACATGAACATGATGATTTGAGGTCAAAGCATACCATGTCAGGGAAAGCTATCAACACCAAAGACTTTGCTTGAGACATACCATGCAAAATCACAGAGGCGCTGTCATCTCGTATGCAACCTCCGCAGCTCTCATCACCACAGTCCCCATAGTTAGAGCGGCTGCAGCAATCTTTACAAACCTCACAGATTGCAAGAGAAGACTCAACCAACAAGGGCATTTTCTCAAGTACAGGAGTCCTGCCAGCAGTGACTTGTAGGAACAATGAAGCAAGATTCGGGGCAAGAATTCGAGCTCGGGAACTCCGGTTGAATGTGGCTCTTTTGATACTTAGATGCCTTAAGGACAAGGATGAGATCCTTTTGGCATGGTTGAAGCTGCAATCTTTAATCTGTAGATCTTGCAACTCAGGACATCTCGAGAAGTCAAGAAAATCTTCATTGAACACTAGGCCGCAAAGCTCTAGCTTGGTCAGGTGCCTGGAGGCGAGGGGTGGGTCATCCGGCCGAAGCCGAGCATGGGTATCCCCAAGGAAGCTGAGCCGCAGGACCTGGACATCGCACTGCACGGCGTACCTGACCCAGAGCCTCACGTGGCGAACGTCAACAGTGGCTCCGGCGACCTTGAGCTCAAATGTCTCCAGAGGCGAGCTTCCACGGAGGAGCAAGAGGCTGTCCACAAACTCCCGGACCTCCTCGAAGGGCACCGGCGCCTTCCCGTCGGCGCCGACGATGCGTAGTCCAGGGGCTGACTTCCAGAGGTGTCGCCAGCGCTGGGCGAGCACGCATGTCTGCACGGCCTGCTGCGCGGGGAGGAAGGAGAGGACGTGGCGCAGGATTTCGTCTGGGAGGGCGCCGATGCGGTCGCCGCCGCTCGCCGGAGATGCTTGCCACGCTCCCTTGGGCGCTTTGCCGGTAGGCATTCCGGCGGCCGCGGGGAGGATGCGTAGCTCCGCAGGGCAGGAGGCGACGGCGGCGAGCTGCGAGATTTGGGGACAGGTTTTGCGGATGGCGGCGCGGACGAACTGGGGCGGCGGTGCTGTTGGGGAGGTGCTGGTTCGTGGCTACTGTAGCTAGGGTGGAGCCATGTCTGTGGCGGCGGCGGCGGAGGCGGAGGCGGAGGCTGCCGGGACAGGGAGGCAGGGTTCCGTGACTCGGTCCAAAGTGACGGATTGCATTTGCGTGAGGTCCCAAACAATATTATACCGATTAGAAATTTGGAATAAATATTATTTTGTGGACAAGTCTAGAGTTCAAACAACCTATACAAGTTCTTTATATATTCAATAAATATAGAAGTGCATACTTATCGAGTTGTAATTCATTTGTTTCTTTTTTTATGCCTTTTTTTTATCAAATTTCAGTTAAATTTCTTCAGCATAAATAATTTTTATTATAATTTTTAATTTAGATATACCTAATTATAATTTATATAGATATTTATTTATTTATTCTCCAAATACTTTTTATAGTTTTTTCAAATGTTTTCTTTGTTATTAACATTTTACATGAACTCTTTATTTGTTTATCAATTTTCCCAACACGTATAGAAATCAAATTTTGTTATCTTAATTTTTATTCAAGTTTACTTATCAAAGTTTGAGGCTTTTTTAGTTTCTCGAACCATTAGATTATTATAAACCCCAATAATGTAATACTAGTGACTGTTTTGTCTCGGCACCTAGGGTTTCCCTAGGCGGCTCGAGCGGGGTGTCGTCGGGTTCATATGGTCTTCTTCCTCCAATTTCATTTTCGATCCTTCATTGGGGTCGGACCTAGGTTCTCCCAGGATTGTTGTCGCCGTGACGCGATTTGATCCATCCTAATTTGCACCGAGTGTCCACCAAAAACCCAAAACCCTAGTCCAATTTGCTAGCCAGTTTAGTCCTTGACCAGATCCCAAAAATGCGGCGTTCCAGGGGTAGGTGATGATGGAGGGGGTAGAGGGGATGATGAAGAAGTTGTAGTTGTCGAAGGAAGAGAAGAGAAGCATCAAGATCGGGTCAGAGATGGAGGCTAGAGGGAGTAATCGGCCAATTTAGGTTGTGGCAAAGTTGTTCTCGAAGAAGGGAGTCAGATCCGATGTCTTGGAGCACGGTGGGGTGGATCTGGTGTCCAGCAAAAGGAATCATCTATAAGGATCTCGAAGAAAACATTTTTCTGATCTCCTTCAACCAGGCGTCGGGGAAGAGAAGGGCGCTTGAGGACGGGCCATGGATGATCTCGAAGGAGTTGTTGGTGGTAACGGATTTTGATGAAACAAAGTCCCTAGACGAGGTTGATTTCTCCATCATTCCAATCTAGACGAGGGTGGAGCGCCTCCCTATGGGATTGATGAACCAATCTACAGCTCGAGCTATTGGAGATGATATTGGCGAGTTCATGGAGGTGGAGGTTGATGGCGGTGAACTGGCGGTAGGCAGAAGTCTCTGACTCAAGATCTGTATGGACATTCGCAAGCCTTTGTGTTGTGGCATTGCCGTGGATCTAGGAGGTGACAAAGGAGATCGCTGGTGTCCCATATCCTATGAATACTTACCTGACTTCTGCTACGTGTGTGGGCTCATTGGGCACGTTGATCGTGCGTGCTCCATGAAGTTGGGGAAGGATGAGCATGTGCTGTACAGTAAGGAACTACGGTTCGTGCCACTACGCAAGTGGAGGTACAATGCACAGGAGCAATGCGGTGTGCCTTCCGAAAGGAGTGGGGGTTCAGGATCCTAGAGGGGTGGTGGCTCTGGCAGTTGGGACAGCAGGAGCAAATCGCATGCTGATGGCCCCTCATGGAGGCGGGATTCGGGGAAGAAGAGTGGAAAGAAGCTAATGGGGAATAAGGGTGAAGAAGAAGAGGTGACGAGCCCGATGAAGGAGATCCAGGTCAAGGAACGAGGACCTAGTTTGGTGTGCACAGAACTATTCCCAGCACCAGTATCTAAAAAGGAGTTGGCAATGACGTTGCTTGGGGAGGTGAACAGTGAGGGGCATGTTAACAGTACCATGAAGATGCCACTGGTTGCACCTATTACCACGGAGAAGGATGGGGAGAAGGATAAAGCACCACATAAATTCAAGAGGGCTAAAAGAGATGAACAGAAGGGAGAGGCGGCCAAGAGCCCAGGTGAGAAGCTAAAGAAGAAAAGGAGCGGAGATGATTTGATGGAGATAGAGTCGGCTAAAATGAAGGATGAAAAGAAGGCCAAGTGTGGTAGTACTGATTGGGGTGGAGAAGCAAGCTGCAACTAATGAAGCGTGGCTGTCGGAATAGCCCTACGGTCCCAATGAAGATTATTGCTTGAACTGTCATGGATTGGGGAACAACGCAGCAGTTCGTGGCCTTCTGAACATTTAGAAGGAGGACCCCGACATTCTCTTCTTGTCCGAAACCAAGATGGACAGGGCGAGGATACAAGGCTTTAGGTTGAAATTGGGGCTCACAAACATGATGTCGAAAGATTGTGATGGGAAGTGTGGTGGATTAGCAATCTTTTGGCAGTCAGGAATCGATTTGCATGTGCGATAGATTTCACGTATGTACATCAATGCGGAGGTAAAAGAGGCAGATGCCTTTCTGTGGAGGCTCACGGGCTTCTATGGGGAGTCTACGACTGAGAAGAAGGTGTTGTTATGGAAGGTGCTGCGTACTCTAAATGCAATGAGGCACCGTCCATGGCTTTGTGTTGGTGATTTCAATGAGGTGCTAGTGGAGGGCGAGAAGGAAGGAGGTCCCAAAAGGAAGCAGGTCTACATGGATAGTTTCAAGGAAGCATCGGAGGATTGTGATCTGAATGACCTGGGATTTGAGGGTGACCCTTTCATGTGGCGAAACAATAGCCATACTAGCGAGCACTACATCCGTGAGCGGCTGGATAGGGTTGTGGCCTATGGAGAGTGGATCACAAGATTTCCACTCTACCAGGTGATAAATGGTGAACCAAGACATTCGGATTATCTTCCCATCATCGTGGATACAAATTCACTGGTGAGGAGGGGCAACCAGGGGAGACAACATGTGTTCCATTTTGAGGCGAGTTGAGTGGAGGAGCAGTGTGCTGTCATTGTGGAGAACGCGTGACGCACGACTCTAGAGGTGTTTAGGGAGAGGGTGGAAGGGGTGTTGCGCAAGGTGGCTGGTGATCTAGGTGACTGGAGTAAAAATGTGCTAGGAGATTTGGAGAAGTGCACACTACTAGAAATATCCACTTATATGACAAAAATCTTAATGATGAATCCAAAATCGTCATAGAAGATCGCTTTTTATGATAGATATTTCTGTTTCATCATAGATTAGTGGTGACGATCCAGCAACCCTCCCTTTCTATGATGAAATCAGGCATCATCACAAAAAATGTCATAGAAGAGCACATGGTTTCGTCACAGATCACTCGCACAACTCATCTGTGACGATCTCCTTTAAAACTATAACGAACATGGCTTCGTCATTAAACTAATTACACATCTATGACGAACAATATTCGATCTGTAATGAACGACTTCATCATAGATCTCCACACGGTATTTTTTTCATCCGCCGTGTGCCTATGGGACCTACAGTTACTCATCCGTGACGCTTGCAATTTGTCATAAAAGTCTTCGCTCGATCATATCTCTATGCGACGAGTACCTATGGGACCCTTCTCCATCTAACATGTACATGTGGGACTTGCAGTTACTCATCTATGACGCTTAAAATTCATCATAAAAGTCTCCGCTTCGTTCTTTCTCCGTCTGACGTGTACGTGCGGGACCCTTCAGCATCCGACCTGTGGGACCCAATGGCTTACATGTCACGTGTACCTATGGGACCGTTCTCTATCTCCATCTGACCTGTGGGACCCGACGGCCCATCTCCATCTGACCCGTGCGACCCGACAACTTGCGTGTCACTTGAACGCTTGCAATTCATCATAAAAGTCTCTGCTCGTACCTTCTACATCCAACCTGTGGGACCTGAGGCTTACGTTTCACGTGTACCTGTGGGACCTTTCTTCATCTCCATCCAACCTATGGGACCCGACGGTTTGCGTGTCACTTATACCATGTGGGCCGTTAGGGTTTAATTTCTCGAAAAAAGGTCTGATACCTAGGAGTCGAACATGGGATCTAGATCTAGGATTAGAGTGTCTTTACCATTGCGCTAGACGCTTGGTTGTGCTGACATCTCTTTGGAGTCGCTATAGTATCCTATTTGTTGTGTGGATGCCCTATAGGTTGACCTAAATTAGATATATCCCCTGCAAGTGGAAACAAATCTATGCCCACTAGACTTACGGCGGCGGCGGCGGCCGAGGAGGTGGAGGCGGAGGACCCTGGTCTACTGTGGTTGCTCAAGCGTCCTTTCGGTGGCGCGGTGGGGCTCTCTCGGTGGAGCGTGGCGGCATTGGCGTCTACGTGATCAGGTGTGTGTCGCGGTAGAGGCGGCTTTGGAACCGAGCCGTGCCAGTTCATAGAACAAAGGTATGAGTACCTTCTTCTATGATTATAGGACTCCATTTTCTATACACGATAAAGTAAAGAACACATAAAAAAGGCTATTCTGTATGAATTTTAATTGAAATCAATGCTTTTGTCACACAAAATAGAAAACCAGACTGTCCCATAGTATGATATGAACAAATGCATAGATTAGTGCTCTTGAACACTGTATGCTTGGTTCTAATGCTAGTTTTGCCATTGTCCACCCAATGGTCGAAACTCTAATGGCCTTTGCATACTTTTGCTACAACAGATGGATAGATCCTGGATTCCTAATGGGAGACCATTCTCGCTGACGTTCATCGTAGGAGTTGAAGAGTTCATGGATATGGTTAAACAAAAATACCTGGAGCAAAACATCCCTTGCCCATGTACATATTGTCTTAACCAGGTGGTTAAAACTTGACAGGAGGTGAAAGACGACTTACTTATACACAGAATGTCACCCACATACACCACATGGATTCATCATGTGGAAGAGGGAGGAGGTACTGACATTATAGAGCCATTAGATGTGCATGGATCTCATCATGATGGTTGGATTGTGGAGGAGGAAGAGCAGGAGGACTGGGACGATAACATATTACCAGATTTTGATGATTTAGTTCAAAACCTGTTGACATCTGAAGAGCGGGCTAGAAGAGTCCCAAAGTTTGAAAGAGTGTTGGATGAGTTGAAGCAATCAGTTTCTTCTGGATCTACCTTCTCAAGATTCTCCTTCCTTGCCAGGTTGCTCTATATCAAGTCCCACTATCGAGTTAGCAACAGCTATTTTGATGCACTATTGGTGTTGCTGTTAGATGCATTCCCTAGTAGCAACGTACCAAAATCATGTGAGGAGGCACGCAAAATATATTCAAGAATTGGGACAAGGTTATGAAAGTATCCATGTGTGCAAGAACAATTGTGTGTTGTTTTAGGGTGATTGTGAGGAATTGCAAGCGTGCCCAAAATGCAAAAAGTCTAGATAGGAGGATGCAGATGGTAGCTGGCAGGTTCCTCATAAGGTTTTGAGGCATTTTCCTCTAATACAGAGGTTGCAGAGGATCTTTGCTGCTCAAGGAACAGCAGCTGACGCCAAATGGCACGAGACTAAGCGAGAGAAGAATACCGATGAAATGAGCCATCCAATAGACGGGGAGGCATGGCAGGACTTTGATAGAAAGCACAAAACTTTTGCAGATGATCCAAGGAACTTGAGGCTTGCCATCGCCACAGATGGTTTCAATCCATTTGGCAACTTTAGCTCGACATATAGTATGTGGCATGTTCTTGTAACGCCTCTGAACCTGCCACCATGGGAATGTGTGAACCCATCGAATTGCTTTATGTCTCTACTGATCCCGGGCCCAACCTCTCTAGGAAAGGATTTTGATGTATTCTTGGAGCCTCTTATAGAAGAACTAAAAGAACTATAGAAGGGTGTCGACACTTTTCATGTACTACATCCTGATAATAAGAAAGGCTTCACTCTGCGCGCTGCCGTATTTTGGTGCATACATGATTTTCTAGCATTGAGCACCTTGTCAGGACGAACTACAAAAGGTTATTATGCATGTATTTATTGCGACAAAAATCCATTGTCAAGGAGCCTAAGAAAGAAGCTAGGCTACCTTGGACACCGTCATTACCTTCCTAGGGATCACCCTTAAAGGAAGAGCTTGGATTTTGATGGAGAAACTAAGGATCGAGATGCGCTGAAAAAGTTCACCTTATAGGAGGTCCTTGAGGAACTCGAGAAGGTGAAAGATGTCTGCCTAGGTAAGCACGATGGAAAAAGGAAATGAAAGTGTGGAGAAGAGCCAGTGATTTATAATAAAAAATTTGCTTGGTGGGGGCTGCCGTATTGGAAGGACCTATTGTTGCCACACAATCTTGATGTCATGCACATTGAGAAGAACATATGTGAAAACATTCTTTGGACATTGTTGAAAGTGGAGGGCAAGATAAAGGACACAACGAATGCTAGGCTAGATTTGCATGATATGAACATAAGGCCTCAATATCACGGTGTGCAGCAAGGCACCTCACTTAAATTCTTGGAGGCTCACTATGTCATGACGGAAAAACATAGGGCAGAATTTTGCAAGTTCCTTAAAGGCGTCAAGTTTCTAGATGGTTATGCAGCCAACCTAGCAAAATCCATAAGTGCAAATGGTACCAAGGTAGTTGGCAAGCTGAAAACACATACTTGCCATGTCCTTCTCTAGAGGATTGTACCTGCAGGCTTAAGAGGTATTGTTCCCAAAGATATATACAAAGCTATTTCAGAACTTAGGAACTTCTTCAGGCAACTGTGCAGTAGAACTCTGAGGAAAGAAGTCATGGAAAAGCTAAAACGGGACATCCCACTCATCTTATGCAAGCTTGAGAAGATTTTCCACTAGCCTTTTTCGATGTTATGGTGTACTTGGTTGTCCATCTACCTGATGAGGCACTTCTTAGAGGGCCCATACAGTATGGATAGATGTACCCAATAGAATGGCGACTAGGGCATGTTGAAGAATTTATTAAGGAACAGGGCCAGGTCTAAAGGATCAATTGCAGAGGCTTACTTAGAAAGTGAGACGTTGGCATTTTGGGAGAGGTTCATGGACGATGTTAAAACAAGATATAACCAAGACGACAATATGTCACATGATGGGCTAGCACCTGGTGAGACCTCTATTTTCATGCATTGTGTCAAGCCCATTGGCCAAATTAGGGTGAAGGACATCAAGGATAAAGCCAAAATCAATTAGCTAGCTTGCTATGTGCTTAATAACTGCGACGAGGTTAGACCATATGTGCAATAAGTATGATTTTTTATATGCTAATTTGTTGTTTCCTATATTACGTATGAAATGTTACCAATAATAATGCTTATATATGCTATAGAATATACAGACAAATTTTTGAGGAACAAGGAGCAAGTGATGATGTTGATAGTAGGCTAGCAGCAGAGTTTCCAACGTGGTTTAAGTCTCATGTACGTGATTAGCATATTTTAGTTCTGTTAGGCCGATCATTGGCAGAATTATATGACAACTTAGTGGTGATGGTGGTTTCATGTTTGTGTGCAGATCGAGGAGCTGCGTAGAGAGAAACCAACAGAGGTTAGTGAAGGTTTGTATGCACCATCATGTGGTCCTAATACCCGAGTCCGGGTCTGTGCAGCTTGCAGTATTAATGGAGTCAGGTATAGCACTGCGAGAAATCCCTACATACACAGAACAGTGGTGTCATGACCGCTGTCACACATGAAGGCCAATTAGTGGAATTTTATGGTGTCCTTAGAGAAGTTATTCAGCTGATGTATAACTCCAGCGTATAAAGCCATAGGACGGTGGTTCTTCTGCGCTGTGACTGGTATAATCTAGATGGCACTACAAAGTTTGTAGGCATTGATGATGATGGACATTTCAGATCCATCAACATTAAATCATTCTGGTACAAGGATGACCCATTCATTCTCGTGACACAGGCAAGGAAGATTTTTATTTGCAAGACACCTCCTTGGGCAAAGATTGGCGGGTCGTGCAGAAGTTCGAACATAGGGATATGTATGACGTGAATGAAATA